AAGTCTCACCGTCCTCGCTCCTCAGAAGAGAATTAGATGTATATTGGTCCCCCTATCCACAGTTCCACTTTCTGCAGTTTCAGTTACTGTGGTCAACTGTGGTCTAAAAACATTAAATGGAAAATTCCAGAAATAAACAATTCATAAGTTTTAAATTGCTCACCGTTCTGAGTAGCATGATGAAATCTTTCTCCATCCCACTTCATCCCACGTGGGACTCGAATCATCCCTTTGTCCAACGTATCCGCGCTGTATAACTACCCGCCCGTCAGTCACTTAGTAGCCATCTCGGTTATCAAGATCGACTGTCGTGGTATCACAGTGTTTGTGTCCAAGTAACCCTTATTTTACTTAATAATGGCCCCAAAGTGCAAGAGTAGTGATGCTGGCAATTCAGATATGCCAAACAGAAGCTTAAAAGTGCTTCAAGTAAAAAAGTGAAAGTTCTCGACTTAACGAGGAAAGAAAAAAATTGTACGCTGAGGTTGCTAAAATCCACGATAAGAATAAGTCTTCTATCTGTGAAATTGTATACATTAAACTTAAGCATAGGTATGTATGTATAGGAAAAAACACAGTTCAGTTCTGTACTATCCACCGTTTCAGGGATCCACTGGGGATCTTGGAACATATCCCTGTGGATGAGGGGGGACTATAGGGTCGCTATGAGTCAGAATCGACTTGAAGGCAACAGATTTGGTTGGGTTTTTTGTAGGTACATGCAGGTCAAATCCTAAACTTCTGACTCCTTGTCATGTAGATTTTAGTTTAAAAGATATCCTGTCCAGAGGCGAGATGAGAAGGCAGAGAGGGTCAGGAGCTGGTTGAATGGACATCGGAAATCAGGGGTGGAAAGGAAGAGTGTGCTGTCACAGTATAGGGAGAGCAACTAGGGTCACATAGCAATGTGTGTATAAACTTTTGTATCAGAAATTGACTTGAATCGTAAACTTTCACTTAAAGTACAATTTAAAGAAAAGATATCCATTCAGAGAGGCCTTCTTTGGCAGTGCAAACTAAAGTCACCTACCCCATTACTCTCTATCTCATCAATTATCATTCACAAGGTAGCACTCTGTGGCTTATCTCTACATTTTTGTATTTTCTGTTTGCTCCCACTTGAATGTAATCTCTATGAGAGCTGGGTCCTTGATCAGTCTTGTTCTCTGATCTTTACTAACACAGTGTCTGGCAAGCAGTAGGTATTCAGTCAAGGTTTGTTGCAGAGAAGAACACAACCCAAATCCCCAAAGCCTATACTGTCATCACTGACAGTGAACGCCATAGTTGAAAAAGTGGACCAGTGTATTTATGCACTTCCTCCCCCTCCCACTGTTCTGATGTGAGATACAAGAACAAATGTGATGGTTTAAAAAGTAAGACGAGGCAGAGAGTGAAAGAAACAGGAAAGAATAATGAGTGAACTTTATGGGAAAGGTTTCTCAACAGTGAAAAGCGGTTTTGGATTGAGTAACAGTGGGATGATTATAGGGGTAGCCAAAGAGATTTAGAAAGCAAATTAGACAGTAGCAGTATACCAAAAGGTCATTTGGTACTTACATGAGTGTATGCCAAGTTTATTAATTTATTATCAGCATCTACCTTAAAAATGTCCTTTAACAACAACAACAACAAAAAAATCACCTTAAATGTATCATCTTTGTAGTTTTCTTTTCATACCCTACATTCCTTTAGTAATAAAAAATATATACATAAAAGTCAAATGAATCTGCTTTGTATACACATTGTTTCTGTGATTGTTCCTGCCACATCTAAAGGTAAATCAGTTCTGGTTTGCTTACTTGGTTAGTGATTTGTCCATGCCCTGTATAGCATCACAAATGCACAGAATTTTTCTTTTACCACTTGAATGGCAATAATTTTCGCATCAGTGCCAATGGACATTTGTGGTTTCCAATTGAAAGAGAACCTTGGGAATTTGTATAAAAGCTGAACAGAGTGCAAGGAAAAGTAGAACAATGGCTGCTGGAGGTTCAATGCTAGCTTTCCCTGTTCTACCACTGAGAAGCTGTGTTACCTCAGACAAGAAACACTGCGCCTGAGACTGTAAGATGGGGAGAATAATAATGCCAAACTCGTAGAGTTGTGGTAATTTAATAAAGCATGCCTGGGAGATAGTAATTGCTCAAAATTTATCACATAACATTAGATTTCTGAAAAGCTGTCCAGCTGCTATCGATGGGGCCTTAAAGCCCCTTTCAATCCCTTCTACTCTCTTTTAGTGGAGTCTTTGGTTTATGAAGAAACAATCCCCTCTTTCCATAGCATTTGAGTAAGAGATTGTTCTCTCCTACATCAGGTACATCAAAAATCTTCACAACTTAGCTGAAATTCCCAGTCCAGCATAACCTCTGGGAACAAGTTTCTCTCCGTACACCAACTATGAGACATTTGCTCATCTCTTTTATGTTGTTAAGAGATTCCTACTGCTAGGACACACTGGGAACTAGATGTCAGAAACACATACAACCAGATGCCTGAGTACTCCTGCCTTCTAAGGTCTTTGTTCATAAAAATAGGTAATGAGTATTCAAGCTTCCATGATTCCATACTTCTGTGAGGGTGTCCCTTTCAAGTTCTTGCGCATCCTTCTCTTGAGGGAGGCATGTTCCTCAAATCCACGCTGCTGTACTAGTTGTCACTCATCACCTCAGACAGCCACTCCACTCCACATCCCTGAAGTCCACTTTGATAAGCTTCTCCTGGACAGTATTGCCTGCCCAAATTCCTTCATAAGTGTTGACAGAGGCCCCTCCCTTAACTCCTCAAAGCTCCACTAAAACCATGTTTTAATAAAACTTAGTGAAGAGTTGAGGATATAAATGAGAATTACAGTGAGAAAAGGAGAACACAATCCCAGAGTAGCCATCCCTGATCCAAAGGAGGCAGTGGGCAAGAGCATGAGTTCAAGAAGCAGACTGCCTGGGTTAGAATCCTGGCTTCCCTGCTTACTGGCTGAGTGACCTGTGACAGGTTATTTAAAATCTCTGTGCTTCAGAGGGCACCCACTTTGCAAAAATATATTGAAGACTAAATGAGTCAACATAAGTATTACTTAGACTTCTGCCTGATGCTTAGCAAGCATTCAGTAACATATTGTTATTATCACTATTATAATTATTATTATTGCTTACGTCTCCCTATTGAGCACTCACCTTGCCACTATAGGGATTACTAACTCACCTCCTATGATATTTTTGTCATTCCTTTCCCCTTAAATCTAAGCTTATGATTTTCCAATTGTGTCTGGGATCCAGAGATTGGAGAAAAATTATTTTTACCCCTCAATAAACTAATCTGCACTCTGCCCAAAAGGAAGTCAACTTTATTATTGTTGTATTATTATCATTACTATTATGTAGATCCATTAAGTTCTTTATTAACTTGTATCTCTCAATAATGGAATAGGATTCTCGCTTTGCTCTGCAAAACAAAAAGTCCCTTAAAGTGCTTTTCCCCAAAGGAGGATCATTCATGGGGCAATGGGGTCACAGAGGAAATGATGAAATAAATAAGCAAAAAAATGATGCACAATTACTAACTGAGAATAATGCTATGAACAATTTTCTGTGATAGAAAGTAATAGGAGGAACCTACTTCCGGTCAGGTGGTTAGGGAAGGCCTCTTTTGAAGAGATGGCATTTAAAGAGAGACCTGAAGAATGGGAAGGAATCAGCTGGGCAAAGGGTGGAAAGAATATTACCCCCTGCAGAGCAAGTTCTCCGCTTCTCCCCAATTTTGTGTCTTGGAAGTTGGCACAGATACTTTTATCTAAGGAGTGTTGATTTCCCTGGAACCTCCCTCCCCAACCCATGAGTGCATAAAGATTGGTTTTAATTCATGTTAAGGCTATTCCCTTTCACCAGTAATTGGTCTTAGGGTGTGTGTGTGACTAAGTTCTGGCAAATGAGAACATAGGCAGAAATATGCCACAAGGCTTCTATAAGAGCTTTTGCTTCTCTGTAAAAGGGGAAAAGAAGAGAGAAGCGCCCACTGTCACCATCCTTTCCCTTTTCTTGCCTCCAATGTAGAAGTGATGCATGGAGCTATGGCAGCTCTTTTGATATTATGAAGCAACAAATAAATATGCTATGTATAAGTAGCAAAATTAAAAGATGGATTTTTTATTAACTTATTGAGCCATTGGATAGCCCTGAAATCTGCTGTCAGACTGCATCAAATATAAAACAAATAAAAATAAAAATATTCAAGAAAATACTAGATTTTCTGTTATTTGCGACTGAAAGCATTCCTAACAAATACAGCCAAGGAGTGGCACAATCATATTTACTTTTTAAGAAGATCTCTTCATCCCATCTCTGCTCTAAGAAAAATTTGATCAATAACAGAACAGTACAGGCAGTTCCTGGATTACAAATCAGTTCTGTTCTTAAATCTGTCTTTAAGTCGAACTTGTACATAAACTCAGAACAGTTAGGTACAGTTCATATCTAATGTCAGTTGGTCAAATGTTTATCCTCCCATTTCCAATTGCCATCAAGTTGATTCCGACTCATAGCAACCCTACAGAACAGAGTAGAACTGCCCCATATGGTTTCCAAGGAGCTGGTGGATTTAAACTGCCAACCTTTTGGTTAGCACCCAAGCTCTTAACCACTGTGCCACCAGGGCTCCATGTTTATCTTAGCAGGTAGTATATAGTGTACCTTTCTATGCATTAAAAAAAATTAAAGAAACACTTCCAGATACACTAAAACATCTTTAGTATAATAATGCAGTAATAATAATGTTTTGATGTACATCAAAAAGGAGCGCCTGTTTATTATTACAAACCATTGTATGTACCTTGAATTTTAATATAATAGGCTTTATGGGGGTTAGCTCGTAACTACAGGTTGAACGTAAGTCAGACATTCGTAACCCAAGGACAGTCTGTAATGTAAATTTTCTATGATGAGTACAGTTTTGGTTGCAAACTCATAATCACATAAACTTATCAGATGCAAATGGAGACTTACCGCCTCAAGGTGAGAGAAAAGTTTTCAAAATCTTGGCTCCATAGATGAAGTTAACACTTTGAGAAGTGCTGGCCCTTCTGGGAAGAAGCATGAGTTAAGTTCAGGTGTACTTAGCATATCAGACTCTATTCAGTCTTTTCCTTATGCCAGCTGGTTACCTGCTAGAGCAATAATTCTCAAACTGCTTCTGTAATAAAGGTTATGATATTTGATATTCTGTGACTCATTCTATTCTATTTAACATAATTTCTGTGAGAATAAACTTCAGACATGAGGTACAAATAAGCCTTCATTTCCATAGCCAAAAACATGATTAAAAAAAAAAGTAATATACTAAGTCTATTGATAAAGAGGATTATAACCTGATATTCTTCAGGATAATGATACAGATAAAATGTGACAAGCAATCAGGCCATCACTTTTTTTTTTTTTTAAATGTGATATATCAAGACATTCTTCCCACACAAAAGTCATCAATGTCACTGAGTCTTCAAAGGGAAAAAAGTAACTCCTGAATTTGGGATTCTATTAAATCCCACCTGACTAAGCACACTACTACACAATTCTTACTTCTGGGAGGATTTGAGTCAAATCAAGTTCCATAGCCCTGAATTTTACCCCTATTCACATATTTATATATACTACAACAGCCAGAAAATATCTATAATGAGGAACAAGTAGTAATTAGGAAATAATTCCAGCTAGAATAAGGCAATGGTGATAGCAATAAATTAATCAATGTCAGATGTTCAGAAGACCTATTGAGTCATGTATTTAATATTTTTGCCATAGCAAGATAATTCCTTGATAAGTATTTTGTTTTTTTTAATCAAGATTATCTTATTTTTTCCAGTTTCTGTTTTTTTCTCTTTAAAATTGTTGCATTTATCATTAGTAGAATTTTTCTTCATGCTTTAAAAAAAATGTGGTTTAAATAATGAACTGTGGCATTATTTCTAGCTATGGCGCCATAGGAAACCCTGGTGGTGCAGTGATTAAGATCTTAGCTGCTAACCAAAAGGTTGGCAGTTCAAATCTACCAAGTGCTCCTTGGAAACCCTATGGGGCAGTTCCACTCTGTCCTATAGGGTTGCTATGAGTCAGAATTGACTCAATGACAATGGGTTTGGTTTTTTTTTTTTTTTTTTTGGTTTTACGGCCCCATACCTCTTACAGCAATAAAGCCAGCTGCCCTCTAACCTGCCTAATTGGTAAAGCACACCTCCATTTGAATGACCCAGAGTTCTTTAGATGCAAGCAACAGAAACAGGTTCTAGTTAATTTATGCAAAAGGAATGTACTGAAAGGATATCAGAAGTCATTATCTGGCAGGAAGGCTAGAGAACAAGGCTTTGAAATGGGTAGAGTCAATGCATCCCTAGTGGTGGAAGAACTAGGTGTGATAGGAATGGTCTCATAGAGGAAACAATCTAGAATCTCACCCCTGGAATGGATGAATTCCTAACATTTTCTCTCTCTTTAATTCTCTACCCAAGATTTAAATTCCAGGTAGTAGGTATCTGATTGGCATAGTTCTGATCACATACTCAAACTTTGCCTAGGAAAAAGTGGGGACCCTAAGTATAGTTCTACCAGGTGGAATCCAAAATAATAATAGAAAAAATATATATCATTTTTCTAAAATAAATGTGGTGTTGCTAGAAAGGGGAAATGAATGTTGGGAAATCACAAATTATAGATATCCAATACATCAATATTACAAGTTTTTTATATATTAAGCAGTTGCCCGCAAGTCGACTCCAACTCATGGCAACCCTATGTGTGTCAGATAGAACTGTGCTTCACATTGTTTTCAGTGGCTGATTTTTCAGAAGTAGATTACCAGGCTTTTCTTTTTAGGTGCCTCTGGGTTGACTCAAACCTCCAACCTTTCAGTTACCAACCAAGCGCACTAACCATTTGCACTACCCAAGGACTACCTTTCCTATTTTTAACTCATTAAATGAAAATATTGCTTTACAGCCATTCTGAAAACCCGGTATCTCCTTATCATTGTTTGACAGCCACACTGAAATAAAGGAAGGGCTTGTTGTTAGGTTTCGTCAAGTCAGTTCCAACTCATACCCACTCTATGTACAAAACACTGCCTGGTCTTGCTGCATCCTCATAATCATTGTTATACTTGAGCCCATTGTTGCAGCCACTGTGACAATCCACATCGTTGAGGGTGTTCCTCTTCTTTGTTGACCCTCTACCAAGTATGATGTCCTTCTCCAGGGACTGATCCCTCCTGATAACATGCCCGAAGTATGTGAGATTAAGACTCGCCATTCTTGCTTCCTAAGAGCACTCCGGCTGTACTTCTTCCAAGTTCGTTATCTGACAGTCTGTAGTATGTTCAATATTCTTAACCAACACCATACTTCAAAGGCATTGATTCTTCAGTTTTCCTTATTCATTGTCCAGCTCTTCCATGCACATGAGGCAATTGAAAATATCATGGCTTGGGTCAGGTGTACCTTAGTCCTCAAACTGATATCTTTACTTTTTAACACTATAAAGAGGTATTTTGCAGCAGATTTGCCCAGTGTAATACATCATTTGATTTCTTAACTGCTGCTTCCATGGGTGTTGGTTGTGGATCCAAGTAAGATTAAAGACTTGACAACTTCAGTCTTTTCTCTATTTATGATGTTGCTTATTGGTCTAGTTGTGAGGATTTTTGTTTTCTTTATGTTGAGGTGTAATCCATACTGAAGGCTGTAGTCTTTGATATTCATCAGTAAGTGCTTCAGGCCCTCTTTACTTTCAGCAAGCAAGGTTGTGTCATCTACAGGACACAGGTTGTTAATGCGTCTTCCTCCAATCCTGATGTCTGTTGTTCTTCATATAGTCCAGCTTCTCAGAATATTTGCTCAGTAAATATATTGATTAAATATGGTGAAAGGATACAACCCTGACACACGCCTATCCTGACTCTAAACCATTCAGTATTCCCTTGTTCTGTTCAAATGACAGCCCCTTGATCTATCTACAGTTTCCTCATGAGCAGAATTAAGTGTTCTGGAATTCCCATTCTTTGAAATGTTATCCATAATTGTTATGATCCTCACAGTCAAATTCCTTTGTATAGTCAATAAAACCCAGGTAAATGTCTTTCTGATATTCTCTGCTTTCAGCCACGATCCATCTGACTTCAGCAATGACATCCCATCTCCTCTTCTGAATCCAGCTTGAATTTCTAGTAGTTTCCTGTTGATGTACTGCTGCAACCACTTCTGAATGATCTTCAGCAAAATTTTATTTTGGTGTGATATTAATGATATTGTTTGAAAATTTTCACGTTCGATTGGATCACTTTTCTTTGGAATAGGCATAAATATGGATCTCTTCCAGTCGGTTGGCCAGGTAGCTGTCTTTCAAATTTCTTGGCATAGATGAGTGAGCACTTCCAGCGCTGCAGCTGTTTATTGAAACATCTCAATTGGTGTTCTGTCAATTCCTGGAGCCTTGTTTGTCTCCAATGCCTTCAGTGCAGGTTGGACTTCTTCCTTCAGTACCATCAGTTCCTGATCATATGCTACCTCCTGAAATGGTTGAACATCGACCAGTTCTTTTTGGTATAGTGACTCCGTGTATTTCTTCCATCTTCTTTTGATGCTTCCTACACCATTTAATATGTTCCCCTGTAGAATCCTTCACTATTGTAACTCAAGCCTTGCATTTTTTCTTTAGTTCTTTCAGCTTGAGAAATGTCATGTGTGTTCTTTCCTTCAGATTTTCTAACTCCAGGTCTGTGCACATGTCATTATAATACTTTACTTTGTCTTCTCAAGCCGCCCTTTGAAATCTTCTGTTCAGTTCTTTTACTTCATCATTTCTTCCATTTGCTTTAGCTATTCGATGTTCAAGAGCAAGTTTCAGAGTCTCTTCGGACATCTATTTTGGTCTTTTTTTTTTCTTTCTCCTATCTTTTTAATGACTTTCGCTTTCTTCATGTATGATATCCTTGATGTCATTACACAACTCATCTGGTCTTTGGTCATTTGTGTTCAACACATCAAATCTATTCTTGAGATGGTCTCTAAATTCAGGTGGGATATACTCAAGGTCGAACTTTTGGCTCTTGTGCACTTGTTTTAATTTTTCTCAGCTTCAACTTGAACCTGCATAAGAGCAATTGATGGTCTGTTCCACAGTCGGCCCCTGACCTTGTTCTGATTGATGATATTGAGCTTTTCCATCATCTCTTTCCACAGATATAATCGATTTGATTCCTGTGTATTCCATCTGGTGAGGTCCATGTGTAGAGTCACTGTTTATGTTGTTGAAAAAAACAAATTTGCAATGAAGAAGTCGTTGGTCTTGCAAAATTCTATCATGCAATCTCCAGCATTGTTTCTATCACCAAGGCCATATTTTCCAACTACCAATCCTTCTTTATTTCCAACTTTTGTATTCCAATCACCAGTAATTAACAATGCATCCTGATTGCATGTTTGATTAATTTCAAACTGCAGAAGTTGGTAAAAATCTTCAATTTCTTCTTCTTTGGCCTTAGCGGTTGGTGCGTAAATTTGAATAATAGTCATATTAACTAGTGTTCCCTGTAGGTGTATGGATATTATCCTATCACTGACACCATTGTACTTCAGGGTAGATCTTGAAATGTTTTTTTTGATGATGAATGGAATGCCATTCTTCTTTAACTTGTCATTCCCAGCATAGTAGACCATATGATTCTCCAATTCACAATGGCCAATACCAGTCCATTTCAGCTCACTAATGTCTAGGATATCAATGTTTATGAGTTCCATTTCATTTTTGACAATGCCCACTTTCCCTAGATTCATACTTCATACATTCCACATTCCAATTATTAATGGATGTTTGCAGCTGTTTCTTCTCATTTTGAGTCATGCCACATCAGCAAATGAAAGCCCCGAAAGCTTGACTCCATTCACGTCATTAAGGTCAACTCTACTTTGAGAAGGCAGCTCTTCTCCAGTCATATTTTGAGTGCCTTCCAACCTGAGGGGCTCACCTTCCAGCACTATATCAGACAATGTTCCACTGCTATTCATAAGGTTTTCACTGGCTAATTCTTTTCAGAAGT